ATGATCGACAGTGACGGTCGACAGTGGATGACAACGATCAATTAGTGTTGACGACGACCCGACGGTGGTCGTTGGCGATTGACGGTGGTCGACGACGGTCGTGATGGTGCTGGACTTCAGCTCATTCTTAGAGCTTCCAGTTCTCTCTGAAACTTCCCCCCCTATGAGAGGAATGAGGCTCTATTTATAGTGTTATGGGTGCAATTAATGTAAGAATATGAACCATTTTGATCGGACAGTCTAGAGAGCTTCCCTCGATTATACTGTGTTTAATGGACATTTAAGTGTCTTAATGATATCAAAATTGAGTGATATTGGGCTCGTTGGATTCATCTCGTCGAGAAGCTCGATTCGAGTATAAACTTGACAGCTTTGCAACCTGTTTGACCTTCTAAATGTGTCCAAAGATCTTCCAAGAGTGGTTTAATGACTTGATCCAGGCTTGATTTGACTCATATTAGACTAACTTTAATATCATTAGGTCCGTCTCATCAAGTCAGTCTGTTTGACCATAAGTTTGCTGAAATCGGAGCTTTGGATGACTTTTTATCAAGATTTGAATGCTTCATGTTTAAAATATCATCTCGAGATTCGTGTCGGATGATGAAAATTTATTGGCGACGTATCAGATCTTCTTTCTCGTTGCAGTAAAGAGGAAAGTCGTTCCCGTTCTACGTAGCAGGAAAGCAACGAGATCTTCTTTCTCAAGACGATATTTTAAGCAGGAAATATTCAAATCTTCATAAAAAGTCATCCAGAGCTTCGATTTCAACAAACTTATGATTAAATAGACCGGCTCGATGAAACAGACCTAATAATATCAAAGTTAGTCCAATATGAGTCAAATCAAGCCTGCATCAAGTCATTAAAGCACTCTTAGAAGATCTTTAAAAATATTTGGAAGGTCAAATGAATTGCAAAGCTATCAAGTTTATACTCGAATCAAGCGTCTCGACAAGACAAATCCAACGAGCCCAAGATCACTCAATTCTGATATCATTAAGACACTCAAATGTCCATTAAACATCATATGAACGAGGGAAGCTCTCTAGACCATTCGATCAAAATGGTTCATATTTCTGCATTAATTGCACCCATAACACTATAAATAGAGCCCAATTCCTCTCATAGTGGGGAGGAGAAGCTTCAAAGAGAACTAGAAGCTCTAAGAATGAGCTGAAGTCCAGCACCATCCTGACCGTCGCCGACCATCGTCAATCGCCAACGACTACCGCCGGGTCGTCTTCGATCGCCGTCATCCACTGTCGACCGTCACTGTAGATCATCACCAATCATCGTCAATCACCACCAATCAGACACCGTCTGTGATCGTCGTGGGACATGAGCTCATCACTACGGTCGATGTGTCAACAACGACCTACGTGGTTCACAACTCGAGCAGCTCCCGACTCCGGCCCCAGCGGCCAACGGATGTCATTCCTACTCGCCACAACTCCCGTAACTGCTTACTACGGTTTCTTTGGCCAATCAACACTTCTGGAGCAGTCATCTACAACACTCACGATGGACTACTATCTCCACAACAATCAAGAATGACCCTTGCAACATGTTGTCACCAAGAACTAAAGTCAGATCATAGTTATGCAACTTTGTAATTCTATCTTCCATAATTTAGGAGAAGAATGAACATATGTACTCATCATTCATAGTGGATTATTCAACTGGGCTAGACCCTGTGGTTTTTCCTCCTTCAAGGGTTTTCCGCGTTAAAAATCGAGGTGTCTTCTCCTAATTACTTCTATTCTTTTATCAGTGTGTGCTGAAATTTCGTGCAACGCTAAGACGATAATTCATTACTTTACCGCCGTAAATTTTCTAGCACGCATCAAGTTTAATTTTTTTTTAAAAAATATTTTGTTTAAATTATTGTTATTTAAAATTAGTATTAATTGCAATATTTGAAATTAAATTTTAAGGATTTAAATAATTAAAATGAAAAAAATTAACTATAAATAACTAAAATATAATTAAGTAATGTGAGATAAGTTTATTCAATGCAATATTTTATATATTATAGGTGTTAACTTGGAAGAGATGTCAAATGTTAAAAAACAAGAAAATCGTTTAGGAATGAGGTGAATAATTACATTTTTAAATTTCGGTAATTTTAATTATTTTTTAAATATATGCTTAATTTCAATTATGCTCTATTCCAATAAAAAAATAGATTATAATAGATTCATTATTTTGTAAGATAATAAAATATACATGTTAAGAAGTTGCATAATAAATCACCTATAAAGTTATCAAATTATTTCAAGTATTTAGCTTCTAATAGAGATGCATGGAGTATGATATTAAATGACCTTTAAAAATATGCATATTAACATTCATGCATAAGCAATTGTATAATGGTTTACATATGAAGTTATTGTACTAGTACATTTCATTTTGATGTCCGATCTCATATTCCCACCTTCATGAATTCCAAGCTCTGAGCCAGGTCTTGACACATTTGACATAAACTTATGTCAAAATATCCACCAAATTAATTCTAGTGATGCTTGATTATACACATTCTAGAAATTAACAAAAAATCACATGAAGAGATTTCCTGCTTTTGTAATTTTTTCTTAATTACCTTAACACAAAAATCATTTGATATAATTTTTTAAAGTTATAATCCATTTCTTCCACCCATAACTTTATGGTATGACTTATTTATTTAAATTATAATTCTTTGTAGTTAGCCCAATCTCAAGCATCACAATTGTCCTTAAATATGACTACAAAATACACTTCTCCTCAATCATTGGAAACCCACTTAAGTTTCAAAATTGAATTAAAAACATTTGCTAAATAAACCACTATAGTATCACACAAAATTTCAAGATACCATTGACACATACATGTTTGACATAATGCACACTAAATTAATTCCCTCTAACCTCATTTGAAGAGCCATTATCCACTCTCTAATTTTTATAGCTTGTATTAACATAATTTTTTTTAAAATGTAATTTTTAATGCTATTTACTTTATCCCATATCTTCATTGCATAACCTATTTATGTTCTAACTCTTCACAAATAACAGAAGCCTCGGAATTTGATTTAGTCTTAAATACCAATAACGTAGGAAAATACAAATGTATATTATGAAGGAATTTATTTCCTTCTATCAAAATATATTTCACTAATGCTATTTCTTTTTTATTTATATTTCCTTATTTTCTTATCTATTTGGAGGAATTCCTATTTTATTTTCTTACATTATTATATATATATATATATATGTATATATATATATATCTAGTGTTGTAGTGTATTGAAACAGAACGAGGAATAATTTTTTTTTTCTATAAATGATAAAATATTTATTAACAATCATTGAAAATCCACGAAGTTATCGGAGTTGCATTCTTCTCCTGTACCCAGGTCCAACTTTGACGTGCCAGATAATGAATATTAGTTGATGGTGTATCAAAACGTCAATAATCAAAATCCAAAAAAAATTAAACTAATTAAAAATTTGATAAAACTAAACCATTCTAAAATTTATTAGTTAGTTGGAGTTTTTTTATGACCAAACTTAGAAAATTAGATACTTTACATGTATAATATCAATTTACTTTCTTGAATCCTTGATTGAATTTCAATTTTATGGTTTTTTTAGATTTATTTAGTTCAATGAAAACTAAAATCAAACCAATACTCAAAAAATTAAATATTTAGAATATAAAAACAAAAAAAAAAAGGTATACATTTCTAAATTTAACACAATAAATCAAATTTATGAAGTTGTTTACATGCCTTTAGATGTTGTGAAAGGATTATGAAATGATGAGTGTTGAACTATACACTAAAAAAATGTTTCTCAAATTAACAAAACTTTAACACATTCTTAATATACTATTTATTTTGCTATTAGCAAAATATAAAAATCTATAATTCTTACGATCAAATAACCCTTAGTTATTAAAGAATTTTGATTTGTTCATGAATCACATTCCATGAGTTAGAACGTAAAGAAAAAAGAAGAACAAAAATAGAGATTAGAGAGACAGAGAGAAAATTAACACTAAAATATTTTTTCCATCTTTTTTTTTGTTATAAAAAGATCTCTTTATTAATAAAGAAGAGAATACAATATATCATAATATATTTATGTCCATCATTTTATGGGGATGTTACAAGATTACATGAGTTTGTTGCTTGGCTGTCTGTGACTGATCTACTACAGCTTTCAACCCTCGACCCTTAATGAATACATTTAGCTCACTCCTCAACAATGAGAACCAAAGGCATGATTGTGAGGCGATGAGAAACTTCAAGGGTGTCCTGAATGGTTGATGATGACAAGGAACTAGCTTCTTTCCTCATGCTTGATCTATCTGTTCGAGTACGATCGATCTGAACTTTGATCCTTCTTTTTGTCATTCTCTTATCTATCATTTGCTGCTCTTTTTCTTTTCTAGACCTTTGGATCACATTGGGATTTGTGTCATCACATCCTTGATGTACAATTATAAAAATAGCTAAAACGGGCCAATCACACAAATAACCTTCAATACAAAATTATTTATAAAATTAACACCCTTCCATCCTTATTTTTAAAATTCTCATATTAAGATTAAAATTCACAAAAAAGCAATTAGAACTAAATGTGTTGAATTTTCTCATTATGTTTTTTTTTGGTTATTATTGTTTTTAGTTCGCGCGGTGAAAAGGGAAAAACGACTGGCTCTCATATGGCCGGCTCTTATTCCCTCACTCCTTTGTGGAGAGGAGAGCTCTCCTCTTTTCCTCTCTCTCTCTACCCACATTTTCCTCAGAACTGTCTCTCTCCTTCCTCCGCCTTCCTCTTCCTTCATCTCCTCCCTTTATTCTCTACAAGAAGGCGACAGGGATCCGCAGCGGCTGACGGCCGTCGGCGGCGGCTTCCGGCCAATGGACTTCGACGGCGGTGGTCGGCCATTGGACTTCGATGGCGGCGGAGGTGTCCAACTGCCACCCCAGAGGTCGGCGGCCTTAGCTGTGGCTGTCCCCCTCGGCCCCGCTCGCCACCCCTCTTGATGAAGGTCAGAGCTTCGCGCTCTAGGGTTATGTTCACGGTTCTATTATCCGCTTATCGTCGTACGGTCGATCGTTGCATTGCCGCATTATTTTTCCCGTTTTTTTTGTTGTTGTTAAAGCATGGGATGGCGGTGCCGTTGAAATAGGTGGAAATGATGGTTGGATTGTCGAGAGGATTTGGGCTGGGTTGTTGTTCCATATTGCATGCGGATTTCGGGAGTTGTAATTTTACTGGAAAATTTACGGACTTTGTTTTGGTTTCGAGCTTTGTGTAAAAGGTTTTTTCCTGGTTCTATTGTTCTCGTGCATCTTGTTCTGTAATCAAGCTTGATGATGGTGTCTGCTCGAGATCGACGTTCTTCGAAAAATACTCAACTTGTCGGCTGAGATGACTGGAATACTCAATTTTATTTGGGAGAATTTTTCTCTGAGATTTTTTTTTTGTTTTTCTTTTTGGTTTTGTTCCATTTTCGCCCTCACATGGCTCTGGGTTATTTTACTCAGTTATGGGCGATGTGATACTGATTGCATCCGCGCTTAATCAATATAATATAATTTTGTCCTTATTCTCCTATTCTGATTCATGCGATTGTCTTTATTCTCCCACACAACTATGGCTAGTTTCTGAAAAAGTTAACGTTTTGCATCTTAGCGCTGAGTTTCTATCTAACGCTCGCATCTGGTGCTGATGCAGAATCGATGTGGCAAATGAGTTTGAGAGTAGGAGAAACCATAGATCCCGGACCTTATCCAGAGCGTCCAGGAGAGGCAGACTGTGCTTATTATCTCAGGACTGGCCTTTGTAGATTTGGTATTACTTGCAGATTTAATCATCCCCCCAACAGGAAGCTGGTAAATTTTAAAGCTTTTTCAATAATTTCGTTGAAATAGTTTGCGTATCTGGTATTAATGGGGTTATTTCTTGCAATTTCATTAAACGTTTTTCATGTCATTTATTTTCTATTTCCTGAGTAAAATATTCTTGCAGCCGAGAGATATCTTTGATCCATTGATTTCACGCATTAACTTTTCGATTTATTTATGTATGTCTCCCTGCTTTGAGCAAAGAAAACTCTGGTGCATTTACATACATAAGGCCCAATTCCTATGTATTTACTTATCTAACACCTAAAGTTTTCACTTCTTACATTTATACTGCACAAATCTTTCATATCACGTAAAAATGCCACTATTTTAACTTTTAAAAAGTGAAAGAAACTATTCATGCATAGTTAAGGTGGCTTATATGCAAAATTTGAGGTTTAGTTGTTAGATATGTAAGTACATAAGAATTGAGTGGTTTTTATGTATATCTTTGACATCAATATGATGCATCTCAGCGCTGTCAAGAAATACATTACTAATCTTAGAGATTTGGCTTGCTTTTTTTATTAGTTGAAATGCATCTTTTGAGCTTTTGTGATTTCCGACTTTGTTGATTCCTTATATAGAGTTGGTTTTTCATTGCTTTGCTCTCATTGAATTGTTTTGCTAGCATTTACCCTTACTTTTATGCTGTTTTTATGCTGTTTTGCTTGTGATTGTATAAAGTTTAAAGAAATACATTCCACTTCATTCCTATGTATTTACATGTTTAACACATACAACAACATTAACAACTCCACCACCGCTAAGCTGCAAGTTTTATACACATACCACCTTGCCTATGCATGAAAAAGTGCATTTCACTTTTTAAAAGCTATAATAGTAAATTTTCTGAGGTGATATAAAAGGTTTGGCTGGCAGAAATGTAGAAGGCAAAAAAGTAAAAAGCTAAGTTTGGGGGTTAGATATGTATATAAATAGGAATTGGGAGCTATGTACGTAAATGCCTCAAGTCTTAAATTAGTTATGTTGCTTATGAACAATATTAATCCTTATCTAACTGGGGTTGCCGGTGTTATAGAAGTTTCCAGTATGACTGTTACCATTCTTGTGGAAGAGAAAGAACTTAGAATATTTATTTAGTAGTTATGGACATCTATTAAAAAAAAACAAATTGAGATTAAGAAAAGGCATTTTGATTATCTCAAAATAGAATGGCACTAAAAACTATCAGCTCATCCAGAGTGTGAACTGAATCATATCAAAGGTAAGGGCCACTCTTTTGTTATCTCATGCATTTAGTGGCCTCCAGGAAAAGCCAGCATATATTGTACGCCTCTATGCGGGGGAATACTGATGTATTTCATGCTTTATTTATGGTTTGTGCTTATATCCTTTTTTTTATTAAGTGAAATTGAGTTTCCATGTATGCATTTCATGCATTATTCATGGATATCTTTTTCGGGGCATTTACTTACATACCACACAATTCATATGTATTTACTTATCTAACACTTAAACATTCATATTTACAAGCATAGCCTCAAATCTTTAGCATCACATCAAAAATACCACCATCACTACCTTCTTAAAATTGAAGTACACTTTTTCATGCATAGGTTTATGACACCAAGGTGTTGTAAGTGTAATTATAAAACATTGGGTGTTAGATATGTAAATAAATGAGAATTGTTTAGTATATATGTAAATTTCCCTATCTTTTTTAATTATTAATTATGTGGAATATTTTACTGTAAGTATCTTGGTCTGTACATACCTAGTTTTTTTTGTCAACTTTTATATTTATTTGGGGCTATTTGAGTTTTTTTTATACTTATTTCAAATTTATGTATGAACTTTTATGACAAAGTTCTATAGTATTGATGGTCTTGATTAGGTCATGTTCAATGTCAGGCAGTGGCAAGGATGAAGGGAGGGTATCCTGAAAGAGTAGGGCAACCAGAATGCCAGGTATTTACAGTCCATGGCCTATCTCTTGTAATTTATGTTGACTTCTTTGACAAGGGCATTGATTATGGTTTATTATGTTCTTACATTTTCAGGCCTCTCATAGGCTAATTTATGTAAACAAAAAAAGGCAGGACTTGGCATGTGGCCTTGAATGCTTCTTATTATATTAATAAGGGGCATTCACATACATACCACATAATTCTTATGTATTTACATATCTATTACCTTAAATTTAATATTTACATTCATAACACTCAAATTAACATCAAATCAAAAATACATTTTTACTAACATTAAAAAGTCAAATGTATCTTTTTATGCATATGTTTATAGCACCAATGTGTTATAAATGTAAATATCATACTTTAGGTATTAAATATATAAATTCACAAGAATTGTGCGTTATGTATTTTAATTTTCCTATTACTAAATGTCCTTTAGAAAGTATAAATATACTTCTATACCAATGATGATAAATCATCTCTTTTTTTCTTGAGGAAAAAAAGTGTTCTTTATTATGAAAGCCATTCCTATCAAGGCTCCTCCACATTCTCTTTTTCTTATATGTTTTTTGTTGAAATATGTTGAACAATGAAACTCGGATGTAAAATACTACACCACAGAGCCTTGGGGATTCAACTTAGAGAAGCAGGATGCTTTCATGTTTGGGACATGTCAAGTAGATTTGAAAACTGAAAGTATTGTTAAAATTAAGCTAGAAGATTGATAAAGATTTAAATTCTCTATAATAAGAGTAGAAGATTAAAAATTAGCATATAAAAGAGATGGTAAGAGTAGTACCTCCTGTAGAAAAGGAAGTGAAAATTTCATTTGACATGATTTGGATAATTATAATAAAAGGTAGAAGATGTAATAATAAGGGTGGCAAAATTTATATGGAAGTATTGGGAAATAAGAAAATGTGATGATGTTAGAAGTTGTTGCTAGAAGTGCAACAATATTTGTTGAAAATAGCGTTGTCATCTTATGAAAAATATTAGACAGAAATGAACCAAGTAATCAAAATTTATCAAGGCGATCCCAACTAGGTAGACCATGGTCATTGATGATAAAAATGATAAGAGTATCAAGGGAAGCTTGAGGGAGAGAACCGTGTGAAACAGTTCAATCGATTTGTGCTGGAGGTGATCATAATAGAAATAAGGATTATGGAAGAGAGATGTTCGAGGAGCGGAAGTAATGTTGGGGAGAGAAAAAAAGGAAAGGAATGTGAGGTCCAGGGAAATTTAAACTAAAAAGACAATTCGGTTATAATTTTGTTTAGTTCTAAACTTGTTCATGTGTGATAGTCACTGAAACCACTTTGATATTTTTTAAGTGTTGCTATTTGTTTTATATCTCTATTTTTGGTATGTTACAATAGTGTCTACGAAGCACAAAAATTGTGTGAATGTTAAGTAGAAATGAACATATAGTGATCAAGAGAAAGCTCAAGAAGAAACTAAAGTGAAATTGGACTTGATATAACTTGATCCGGATCACAAAGATTATGACCAATCTATGTTCTTAATGTATTCGCACTCCCTTCTAAGTGTATGCTTAGTGTTGGGGAAGTATATGAGCATTTTCAAAAAATATTTAGAGGATTAAGAATTCGTACATTTTTTTTTTCTCTTTTTTGACATGTTGCTTGGGATGTCCAAGTGCCTATAAGGTGTCCAACATTGGCATGCACCATCTCAAATTCTTTTTATGACATGATGCTTGGAATGTCGAAGTACCTATAAGGTGTCCAATCTTAGCATGTACTTTCTCAAAGTTTTTATATTCTATATGTGTTAAATTAAAGAAATGGTATGACAAATGGATTGTTTTGTATGCCCAAACCTGCCAAGGTATGATTTGCAACATCTTCAGCCTATTATATGGGTTCCATTATTCTAATCTCCATTTTGAGAAGGTGTTTTCTGAGATGCACTATAATTCAAGATAAGTTTTTTAAGGGCTGATTATAAGCTTGGACATTCACCATAAAATATCAAATGGAGAGAGAGAGAGAGAGAACTATGTGATATCACACGTCCAAATTTTATTCTAAATTGTATTTGTTGCATCTTCTTGACTAGCATGTTCATTTAAAAGCATAACTTGGAAGTTCTAAAAACTTATGAGGTTTGAAAATTAATGTTTGGCTCTCTTGAGGGGGTTTTTTTTGTCTCGACTAGGATCAAATGTTTAGAAGATAAATTATATTTTAGATAAGACACTATTCGGATATTTCAATCTCATTTTGTAAGGACTTGGTCCCGGTTCTAAGTTCCCTATAGGCGCATCTTTTTATGAGTAATTAATTGTCTTAATAACTGGAGGAAACTTTCGGTTAAGGCTAGTCATTAGGTGCTAAATGCTTAGCATATAGTTGAAACACTTTAGTTTTATATTGATAAGTCTACTACTTTTTGCTTAGAATAGACGGTGAGAGGGATTGATGATGAACTAGATCAAGATTCCATGATGATTTCATCCTTGGTTATCATGGATCTTGCTCTGCTTTGTCATAGGAGGTAGTTGTTCCAACCTGATAAAAATATTTTTGCAAGCAGTCATGGGCTGTGTTGTTCAATGGGAATTGATAGATCTGGGATAAACTTCTATGACAAATTCTCAATGGAACTAGTCATCTTAACCTACAGTATATTTGGCTCAGCTAAACTATAGTTTTGATAGAATAATAATTTTTCACCTTTAAATTTTAGCATTTTATTATAAAATCATTTGTTTTGATTGTTATTTTATTCCTCTAAAATAAATATTTCTAACTAATGTTTTATGTTTTGTGGTCAAATTCTTTCATAAAAAAACTTACAATCTTTGCAAAAGAATTTTGTTTTTCAAATAAATGCTAGCATTGAAATTGTTTCAAGCATCAACTTAACATGTATTAAATTGTACTGGTTGGGGTTTATCCAAGGTTGCATCCATAATTGACTTGAGTGAAGATTGGATTATTTTTTTTTTTTCAAAAATTAAAAGATACCAAAATTAGGCCTTGGAAAGCATCAAAATAAACTTAACCTAGGTTGGGTAAGGCTTAATTAAAGGTGCACCGAAACTGAGAGGAATCTAAGTCAAATCAACTAAGCCTTGATTAAAAGTTATTTAGGATTGGCATGCAAACTTTAGGATATCTTTAATTGCCCAATATGATATCTTTGACCATTCTAAAAATAGCCACTTATTTCGCTTAATTAATCAAGTTACATCCTTATACAATTCCATTATGAACTCAAGGTTATATGTTATTTATGAAATGGGTTAATAGGTTAAAGGGTGTGATGGATAAATGCCATTATGGTAAAACAATTAACTTACAAAGTCATATATATTCATTTCCTCAATGCGGCAATAACCCATATGATACAACTAGCCTTTCCTATGCTCGTTACAATATCTATCATGGTTAAACAATTTCAACTATTAAATGCCCATATGGCTAATTGTCAATATAATATAGAATGCTTGACAAAATAAGGAAAACATAAGAGCATGTTACTTGCTATCTTCGGTGAGGCCTCATTGATAAACTAAGCAATCAACAATCATTATGCAATCATTCACAATATTCAAAACTCCTCCATTTTCCTTCTTTAGAACCACACCAACAATCCCATTTGATTAACAGGAGCCTGTTAGAGTACCATTATGAACTTCTTGAGCAAAGCTGAGTTCTCGGTATCCCCTGCAAGTGTTTAATACTGTACTCTTCAACACAATTATGCCTGTAATCCAAATCTAGGATGGGCTTAATTTTGTGTGGATGAGCGTAGGTGCGGCTTGATTTTGGTGACAATGACTTATGTATAGCTCCTATAGCATTTATGAACTAAGGTTATGCAGTTTCTCACCTGCTATATAACCCCTATAATATTTATGGAATGAGGTGTGGAGTTTTTCAATTAGATTTACCCTTATTGCAGATACCTTAAACTCCAAATGATAATAAAAAAAAAATCTAAGTAGACTTTGGATCTTGATTCATGTACTGTCAACGTACATAAATTATTTTGAAGATTCTAGTGAGGTTAGGTTGTGCCTTCGGTTGCTTGGTGTTGTCAAACTACTTTTGTGATGCCTAAAAGCATTGAAGAGGTTGTAGAAAGAAATGCCATGTGGCTCTTTCTCTTTGTGATTAGGGGTGTAAACGAGTCGAGCTTAAAGCTTGTTCGTGTTCGGCTTATAAAAATTTTTTATTGCGCGCGTTCGAATTGGCTCGTGAAAAGCCTGTTTGTGTTCGGTTCGATTTAAGCTTTTGAATTCGTTTATGTCCGACTCGTTTAATTACTGAACAAATCGACTCAAATTTGAATTTAACATTTTAATTTTTTAAAATGGTATGCACAGTATCAGACTACGAGCCACCATGCGCTGATGACTTCTTTCCTTTTCAATCTACTTTTATTGATTTAAATATCAAGCAGTAATTGTATACTCTTTATGTGGGACTAAAATTAGGCAGTGAGGTAAAATATTTGGAAGTGGCCGCCGCGTAACTTTATTTCATAAATTTATATACATATGATACCACCTATTTCTTCTTAGTTTATATGTGTGCCTATATATATATATATATATATAGGCACACACACACTCACACATACACTTGTACATTTTACCTTTTTCGAGTCATGTATGCCTTGTGAGTGGACTCTTAGTAGCTGCTCACTAAAACCTCTGTATCCTCTTTTTCATTAATGAAATTTCTATTTTGGCGGATGTCGGCGGGGAAAAGGGTGGATGGGTGGATTGGGGAAGGAGTCTCCCGTGAGAAGCTGTCAGTCACGAGAATCGAAATTTCATCGTCTGCTTCGAAAGAACGCTTTAATTTACATATAGATTTAAGTTTAAAATCAAATATGAAAATCAAACTGACCTCATATTTTTTATAGTTTAAATGAAAGAGCGCTTTACCTCAAATCCTGTATCTATCCTGAGGGATAAACACAAGACTTGAGGATAAGGCTCGATCAGATAAACTAAGA